AGAGAGAGAGAGAGAGAGAGAGAGAGATTAAGTGTATGTGCTGGTCTTGCAGAGAACAAGTTCTGTTCTCAGGTTGCTCCCAGGGATCTGACACCCCTGGCCTCCCTCCCACACCTGTACATGAGTACACATATTTACAAAAGACACATGCATACATAATCAAAGATAAAAGTAAATTATAAAATAAATAACCAGCAGCTACAAAGAAAAGATCTCAGCTACTAGCTAGTCCAGGTCTTTCAGGTTCCTGCTTGGGGATTGGCACCAATGGCCATTCTGAAAGGCAATACATCTTTGGTGCCACACGGGGGCTCCACACCAGGGTTCTGAAGGAATTTTGCATTTTAACTTTTTTCTTCCTTCCCTTGTTTTTACAAAAATGCCCCCAGTCTGTGGTTTCTGTATTAACATAAAACTACAGTACTGCCTTAATGTATATACTTGCAAACCTGCCTAAACTTTGTTAGACATAAAATTTTATTTGAACATTAGATGAACATGAATAATATACATAATACACATCCTATTATACACGCATTTTAACACCATTTTAACACCAAAATGATGAAATCATTCCACATTACACTCTCTCTCTCTCTCTCTCCCCGTGTGTGTGCACGCACATATGTGTGTGTGTGTGTGTGTGTGTGTGTGTGTGTGTGTATAAAATCAATATCTTTTGGTGCGTATATGGTGTCCAGGTACACCACAGGAGGGGGTCGGATATACGGAAACTGGACTTATTTAGAGACGGTTGTGAGCTACCATGTGGGTGCTGGGAACCAAATCCCAACCCTCTACAAGAACAGCAAGTGCCTCCAGCTCCATTCAAAACATTTTAAACGATAGCATTTTATTCCATTTTTCACGTCATTAAAATGTTTATTATAGAGATTGGCGCCTACCTTGGTTACCTAGAGCCTAGAGCCTTCATGCAGTAGCTGTTCGAAGCAGAAGCAGGCACCCACAGCTAAGCACTGAACCATACTCCTGGAATCCAGTTGTGGAGAGGGAGGAGGGATGAGCAAAGGAGCCAAGACGGTGCTGGAGATACCCGCAGAAACAGTTGACCTGCCGAAGTGAGAGCACAGAGACCCTAGTCGTAAATCTGGGGAAACAGCATTGGACCCAACCAAGCCCTCTGAATGTGGGTGCCAGCTGGGAGGCCAAGACAGTCTATGGGACCTCTCACAGTGGAGCCAGTGTTTATCCCTAGAGCACAAATGGACTTTGGGAGCCCACTCCCTATGGAGGGATACTGTTGCAGCCCAGATACAGCAAGGAGGGCCTGGGCCCTCCCCCAAATGATATAACAGACTTTTAAGGTCCCCCGTGGAAGGAAGGCCTCACTAT